GATTGAACATTCATCCCTCACAGCCTCGTTGTTATTCAAGTCAAATTAAATATGGCATTGACTCTAACTAAGGTCCATGTTTCCCTGTTCTGATCAGCGTGTGATGTAGTTTAGCTAATTATGGAAAGATGGCGAGCGATTATTGAGAGCGATCTGGTTTGATCCAGTTACACAGAAAACAGTAGACACTCACACATACACTCACACACACACACACTTACTCTCTCCCCCCCCCCCCCTTTCCCTTGGCATCGTTACTCTTTCCTGTCTCTAAGTGACTGGAGTCGCCATGGAAACATTGTGCCGAGTACCTCCAGAGCATGTGGCTGTGGCACGTCTGAAGTCACAGAAAGATCCTCTCTCTCTCTCTCTCTCTCTCTCTCTCTCACACACACTCACACTCACACTTTACACCATATGCTGATATCATACCAGGACAAAAGGCATAGATGGAATATAATATGGATCTGGCTGTGGATAATGCGAGGCGGATTAGTGAGAAGTGAATTAAGAGCGTTTTATACAGGAAGCACTCAGATGCACTAATAACCCCGGTGTCCGTGTGTTTCTCTCGCCCCGCAGTGACGCCTCTTACCCATATGATCCTGTCCCCTGGCAACAAGGCCCAAATCAGCCTGCCGGCTCCCTCTCTGTGGTAACCACAGTGTGGGGGGTAACCAATCCTTCACCCAGCCAGGTAAGAAGGGCCCTCTGCCGTGATGATGGCACCAGCTTGTTTACCTCAAAGAAAGCACAGCATGTTCCAAGAATGTCCTACTCATGTCTGTTTTTCAAACAAAACATTCTTGTTGTCAGTGAATCAGCAGATTCCATTAACAAACCATTTAGAATCATTCAGAGCAGTTCTTGTTTTACTGAGAAATACTTAAATATAGTAATTAATACATATGAATTACTTACAAATATATAAACTTAATTATAAAAATTATTTATCAATACATTAATTATTAATTATTATAATCATTTGTGGTCACTTCCGACTCAAACGGATACCAGTGAAAATTCATCATTTCCAAACCCCCACATACATGCGTACATATATTTAACTGTATCAGTGTGTTTTTTTTGTGTATGTGTATGTGTATGTGTATGTGTGTATATATATATATATATATATATATATATATATATATATATATATATACACACACACACATAAAAAAAAAAATACTTTTTGAGTTACTTTGTACAATTAAAACACTGTATACAGCCAAATAGCTCAAGTAGGGATAAACCTCACTGCAGTAATATTAACAAAGCTGATTGAACAAAGCATCATGCCCCACATTGTTAGTACATGCAGTTATCCATAACCATAAGCTCTACTCTTCTGCACAATGGTAACGACAGAAACTTCAACTTAGAAATTCTTTCAAATGTCAAACATAGCTGAACAATAAACATTAATAGATGTTTCGCTTTACTCAAAAACAAATGAAGTAGTACTTAATTTCAATATTTACTCTCCATATCCAGCCAAATGCAAAGCATGCTGGGAACTAACAATCACAGCCAAAATAAAACTGCAAAATAGAGCTAATTCTCTTGAAATAAATAGATAACCTTCTTTCCTTATTTTTTTTTTTTTTTAAAGTTTAATAAATTTTTCAATTCAAGCCTCAAAACTGCTTAAGTTTCCTTAAAAAAATATGAGGAAAACATAATCTCTTGGTTTTATTAGTGAAAAGTTCTCAAAATGTTCTATACAACACTAAACCACAATTTCTTTAATAAAATATACGCACTATTTTTAATTATCACCTTATTTTTTTAAATGAAAATTACAAAACCCCTGATTAATTTTTTACAGTGAAGTAGAAACTGCCAATGTGTGATTTAACTATCTAAATATTTGTGGGGTGTTTTTTTGTTTTTTTTGTGTATGTGTATGTGTATGTGTATGTGTGTATATATATATATATATATATATATATATATATACACACACACACATAACGGCAAACAAAAAAAAATTTAAGTTACGTTCATGACTAATCTAAAAACTCTTGTTGTCGGCAGGTTTTTGGCGCTCCCATGGGTCCAGGCGGAAACTCAGCCGGTGGTCACATGATGCCTGGCAACAGCCCGGGCATGAACTCCCCTCAGTTTATGAGCCAGCAGGGCTACCCCGAGCCCAACAAGGGCTTCATGCAGCAGGGCATGTACGGGCGGCCCAGCGGGGGATACCCGGCCGGGCCTGGATATGGGGGCAGGTGAGGAAAGCAAATATTGTCCAATGTCTTGTGTGGCTGTATTTAGACTTTGCTCCTCGTGGGAGTTGCGTGATGTCAGGCAGCCGGACGGACGTCACTGCAGTGGGGGATGTGTGTTCTGTAACGTTCCACCCCTGCGCTGACTCACAGAAACACACACTCATGTCCCTTAAGATCAATTTGCATCGCAATAAATCTTGTGAATCACTGACTCGGAGCAGTTAGTTTCCCCCTTGGCTCGCCAGACCAACACCTTACTGCCACGACAACGTGAATAATCAGCGCCACTTACGCCACCTTCTACAAATATGCCGGGTCACTTTATTCCGTAGCGTCTTAATCTTATTTTATGACACAAATGCAATACAGTTTATAACATGTTTGTCTTCTGTCTGTCCTCTTTAGTTACCCAAATAACGGAGGGGGTTCCCTTGGGATGCCGCCCCATGGAGTCCGCCCGCCCACTGACTTTACCCAAGCGGCTGCCGCAGCTGCTGTGGCCGCAGCCGCAGCCACAGCGACGGCCACCGCCACAGCAACTGTCGCCGCGATACAGGAGAAGCAAAACCAGGAGCTGAACTATGGGCCTGTAAGTGACTTGACTTGTTTGTGTTCACGTTATGTACGGTTGACCTTTGTTGCGGTGAACAGTACTGAAGGGAAGGTCACTGGAATAGGTCTCACCATGCTTAAATGTTTTAGTAATGAATCTTGTCACCTTGTTTAATATCTGTTTTTTTCATGCCGTTAATCTGATTGGTGCAAACGCGGCTTCATTTTTTTTTTTGTGGTAAATGCTTTGCTCTCCACTTCAGCAATTATTATCGTGTGACACACAGTAACCTCTGGTTTCATTGCGTTTAATTCGCCCCCTGCTGGACTAATGCATATAGACGAGCATTGACTCCAAAAACATGGCTTTAATTATTGCCGAAAAAAAATATTTTCCCCTCATTTTTCCAGAAGATTTCACATGCCGCCTGTCTGTCCGGGTTTAGACGGCAGACATCATGGCCACACAGGTCTTTGATTGTTTACAGTGGTGACCTAGTTGCCGTTTCCCTTTCATGCCCAGGACCTGACGGCCATAAGTCACGGCAGCAGGCACGTCTCCAGCCATTGTTACCCAACGCTGGTTCTGATGGGTGTGGATCTTTGTGTTGTTTTGCTTTGCAGATGGGTGGTGCTTCCTCTTACAACACCCAGTTCCTGTCGCACTCTGGACCCCGTGGCCCACCCGGTATGGCCCCCTCCGGAATGGTCAGCTCCAGACCTCCTTCCATGGTACCCATGTACCCACAGCAGGGCCAGAGGTTGCCCCAGCATCCCGTCTACCCAGGAGGCCAGCAGGGTCCTCCGCGCCACCAACAGGGCCTGAAACGCCCCTATAACTCTGACGTGAGTGGAGACTCATGTTCACCAACTTGAGCATTCAGATGTCAGAGTAAACACAGTTTAGAAAATATATATGACATCAACACAAAGGCCATGAGTAGGCCTGTCACGATAACAGCTTTTTGTTGTGCGATATATTGCCCCAGAAATAATTGCGATAAGCGATATTATTGTCATTTTAAAGACCATTTTATGCCACTGAATATATAATCAAAATGTAACAGCATAATAATGCGAGAAGGCCTACACACTTCCAAATGACAACAAACTTTTAATTTTTAAGAATATTTAGATCATGGAAATTAAGTATCAAAATATTGGATACCTTAAAAAACTTGAATAAATAGTAAATAAACATTTTCTAATAAAAAATGCAAAGTAACAAGTACAAAAAAAGAAAATTGCAAAAAGAACTTGTATGGAGATTTTTCCATCTACAGATTTTTTCCTGACCTTCTTTTCTGTGTAAATTAAGGGTGCACACTATTGCTGAAAAACACAATCACTACTTAGCAGTCAGATGTCCGTATGCACAAAGGCACAGATCTCTAAACAAGGCCATATCTGGAGATGAAACTTTGTTTGTAGAAGCATTTTTTAAAATTTGAACTAGCACCTCACGACTACACCACGTTATGTACGAGAAGCTGCAAAGACACTGGCGCAAGTGGAATGTACAAAACATGGTGACATTATTTTTAAGCAAATATAATGTGCGATATATTGCGTCACCAAAAATTATTGAGGTCATGTACATATATTGCGCGATAAGTCGATATATTGATTATTGCGACAGGCCTAGCCATGAGGTTCTAAGATATAAATGTATCATTCACAGATAATGCCATAATGCATTATGATGAGCTTAGGAAAAGTCATGCATGATGTTGCATGTAATTTATGATTAAATTACTTTTATTGTATAATATAGTTTAATATTATAAAATAAACTGCTGATGAAGAAAATTACATGACAGGAACAGAAAACAGAAGAGTGAAATATACTATGGGGTTTTCACATCACATCATTAGGTTAGCATCATAACTAAAGCTATATTCTACCAAAACGAATTGTGCGTCAGGACTTTCAAGGGTTTTGGCAGGGGTTTGTGAGTTGCTTCATTAGTAGTGTGTTCTAAATCGGTCACTTATGAAGTTGTATTTCAGTTAGGATGCTGCCTAGTTCACCAGATTTTAGTTATAGTATTTATTAATATTTTTATTTGGCTTTTATTTTTATATTTTTGGGTTGCATTTTAGTTTTAGTTTAGGTTTCAATAAATGTATATGCGTTGTCAATGTGACTTTTGCTTTTTCAGTTTTAGTACTTCAACTTAAACGTATTTCATTTCAGTTAGTTGCCAAAGCAGCATTTTACATTTTTGTTCAAGGTTTTTTTTTGTTTTGTTTTTAAGTTTTTCATCTTATTTTATTTTATTTAACAAAATATTTCTAATAGTTTTCGTTTTAGTTAAGAATAACACTGCATTAGTGTGGTTCCTCATTAGGTGGCAGACATGTTGAGATCACGTAACTAGTTGAGTATATTTAGATTTTGGAACAGCTAAAAAAAACATGGATTTTTGTTACAGTTACAAACTAGAAGTTGACTCCTCAAAACAACTGTCATTTACATAAAAATGATTTAGACAAAAAAAATATGAGCATAGTGCTGACAATTTGGTTCTGTTCTGGAATGACTGATGTTCTTTTCTTGCAGGGATTTCCAGGTCAGCAGTACGGTCCCGGGATGGGAGGCGGGGTCCCGTACCCAGGACAGCCCATGCAGTACCATGTCCCAGGGACACAGCGGTCCGCTCCTTCCCCGTCTTACCCAACCCACCGAATGCCCCTCCAGCAACCCAATATGGGCCAGTATCCTGCAGGACCAGGAAACCCCAACCAGTACTACAAGGTACAAAGATCATTGCTATTATTGCTCATACTTACATTTTTGGAAAAATCCCTGAGTATTAAACTTTGGCATGCTGCGGATGTGTGACACCTCAAATCAAGCTGCTTGTAAAGACTTGAGCCATCCTAGTAACCAAATTTAGGTACTTTCTAAAACTTGCAGTCATATTTTATTTATAGTCATATTTTTCAGTTTGAAAGCTGTCAGAAAGCTTTCACTTGCAAATTGCGACACACTGCAAGCAGCATCGCGTTTCCCAAAGAACAGGTTCCTTTTCTCTGTATTAGTGAGAAACAAGCTGCTGTTTTTAGAGAAACACACCAGCATTTGATACTGACAAATACAGCAGTGAACTTTAAAGAGGCAACTAGTCGTGAAAAGATTTTTTGGAAGTACCAGTGAAACACGAACCAACCTGGATGTCTTAAATTCCGTGCTGGGTTTGGAATTACAGTGGTAGATTATAACTATTGTCATATCACTGTAGTGTGCACTAAACGAGTGCATGCTTAGGCTCTGTTCCAAAACCTAGTGAACTGCCTACATAGTCAGGTCCAATTTTTAAATGTATGATGTTAGATACCTTCTTTTTGCTAATTTCTAAAGTATGTATCTCTGTGGATGAATCAATCCCAGAATGCACTGTGCCGAGCTCCCTAAGATTATGCTTAACCAAGGTTGACGTGCTCTGTTTTAAGCCTGATGTTGAAAGATTTGTGTTTGTTTAGCAAGCGGACCAGTTTAACGGACAGGGAAACAGCCACAATAGTGTGTCCTCAGGAGTGACGGGAGCCGGGTACAACACCTTCAACCAGGCCGCCGTCAATGGGGTTGGTGTCCTCTCTCGCATGCATGTGTGTTTGGTGAAATGTGAGTTGGTTGGAGCTGCCTGTTAATATTTCACCATTTCGTGTGAGCGCCTCGATCTGACTTTGGCAGCCGGGGTCCAAACTCCACTCAGCTGAATGTGTTTTTGCACAGTATCGATTATGAAAATCTGACTGTAAAGATAATCTGGCCACAGATTATAATGCCTGCACACACGTCTTGTCTTTCACAGCCCGGACGTGCGATGCCAGGATACCCCAGCTCTCCTCTCCCAGGAAACCCCACTCCTCCCATGACCCCTGGCAGTTCGATGCCCCCATATATGTCCCCCGGCCAAGACGTCAAGTCGCCCTTCCTCCATGACGTCAAGCCCAACATTAACTCTCTGCAGCCCCATACAGGTAACACTCGGCACTGAAGCCAAGCCAACACCCCCTCTTATCTCTGGAATGTGTTTATAATTCTCTTTGATATAAATGGAAATAAATATGTTTTGCTGTCACATAAAATGCTTATCACATAGAAAAAAGTTTTTTTTTCCTCTTTAACCCCTGAAGAAATTAACAAAATTTCTGACAGATATTTTAAATTGACATGAAATCAAATTCAACCATTTTACTGGCTTAATTGTGAATGGTTTATCTGCATACGTTGTTCCAGAGAAAAAAAAATGTTTGTCTTCAGGATATTTTATCAAAATATAGTAATTTGCTCAACAATTTTAACCAGATCATATAAAGACCACTAATCCAATAGATTCCTGATGGATTCAAAGTTGCGTGTACTTGTTTTTATCAAATGCTCTATTTTACTGAGAAATTGGTTAAAAAATTGGTTAAAATAATGCTCACTCACATAAGATGAAAACTTCATATGAAGTCATATAAACCTGCTTTTTTCACATAAGGGTAGTGTTTTATTAGTATTATTTACATAACACTATAGTATTTATCAATATTTTAATTAGCTTTTATTTTTATATATATATATATATATTTTTCATTTTAGTTTAGTTTAAGTAATCTTGATAAGTACTTCTGTCGTTTCTATTTAGCTTTAATATCTTTTCATTTCAGTTTTATATTTAGTAATTTTAGTACTACTTCATTTTAGTTTAGTCAACTTAAACTCAAAAATCAGACATGTTGCCTTGGCGTCAAAAAGTTTTTCAGCAAATATTTGTATTTTATTTTATTTCAGCTTTCACTTCGATTTTACTAGTTTTAGTTTTAGGTAATAATAACAACACTGCATAGTTACAAGCTAAACTGAAACTTGAAACTGAAACCGGAACACACCGATAAGTGTCAACAAAAAATCTAGTATGGCTGCTAAAAAAACTTTGTGCATATTCGATATTTATAAGATGCCTTTGTTTCTTGCCATATGAGATATGAATGAAAGCCGTGTAGCACCTCAGTAACTGAAACTCTGCTCTTCTGTCTGCAGGAAACCCCAGTGATGACCTACGTCTGACCTTCCCTGTACGGGACGGGGTGGTGTTGGAGCCTTTTAGATTGGAGCACAACCTGGCTGTCAGCAACCACGTCTTCCAGCTGCGAGACTCCGTGTATAAGACCCTTATGATTAGGTCGGACATTTTCATCCCTTCCAGCATCTCAGGGACTGTTTGTGAATGTGTCAGTGTTGTCATGTTTAACATGTTATCTTATCTATCATGGGTTTTACAGGCCTGACCTGGAGCTGCAGTTTAAGTGCTATCACCACGAAGACCGGCAGATGAACACCAACTGGCCGGCGTCGGTACAGGTGAGCGTCAACGCCACGCCTCTCACCATCGAGCGCGGGGACAACAAGACTTCCCACAAACCCCTTTACCTGAAGCAAGTGTGCCAGCCGGGACGCAACACCATCCAAATAACGGTCACAGCCTGCTGCTGTGTAAGTACAGAGACTCGCATCGCACATTTACAAACAGCCTGACTGATATGAGTTTTATGTGGGCCAGCATTCATTTCCTTTTTCTTTTTTCTCGCAGTCTCATCTTTTCGTGCTGCAGCTGGTTCACAGGCCGTCTGTGCGCTCCGTGCTTCAGGGTCTGATGAAGAAGAGGCTCCTGCCAGCGGAGCACTGTGTCACTAAGAGTGAGTGAACACTTTTGCATACACTTTTTAAAATATATATTAATACTTTTATTTACTAATGATGCATTAAATAGATCAAAAGTGATAGCAAAGACATAATTGCACTTATTCATCAAGGAATCCTGAAAAAAGTATCATGGTTTCCACCAAATTATTAAGCAGCACAACTGTTTTCAGCATTCAGCAATGCAGTAAATCAGCATATTAGAATGATCTCTCAAGGATCATGTGACGCTGAAGACTGGAGTAATGATGCTGAAAATTCAGCTTTGATCACAGGAATAAATTACACTTTAAAAAAAAGTCACATAGAACACCGTTATTTTAAATTGTGATAATAATTCACAGTTTTTACTGTATTTTTGATCAGATAAAAGCAGGAAAACTCAGAAACCATGACAATTCTTTTCTCCTCCACAGTTAAGAGGAACTTCAGTAGCGGTACCATCCCAGGAACTCCCGGCCTTAACGGCGAGGATGGTGTGGAACAGACAGCCATCAAGGTGTCGCTCAAGTGTCCGATCACCTTCCGACGCATCCAGCTTCCTGCCAGGGGCCACGACTGCAGACATATACAGGTGATGAGGCCTGCTAGCATACGTTTGAATCACATAACATTTTAAAGTCAATTTCTGTGTCAAAATAACATCTTTGTTGGTCCACAGTGCTTTGACCTGGAATCATACCTGCAGCTCAACTGTGAGAGAGGAACTTGGCGTTGTCCTGTGTGCAAGTAAGAATCATCTTCTAATTTTACCTTTCATCTCCATGGCATTTTTGTTGTTTTAATACTAAGAAAATTATTTGGTATGCACAGTATATCCACACCGTAGTGGTAATCTGCCGATATTATTTCGGGAAAATTCTCTTAAACTTATTAAAAACACTAATAATTTAATAACAGTGCTAAATGTAGTCTATAACAAATCTCAAAATGAATATGCATTTTTCATACTATATTTTATAATGCTATGATGCCTAAATTCACTTTTAAATTCTAATATTTACATGAATGACTTTAGTTTATAATGTTTTGTGTCATTTATCTAGACAAAATACTATATAATTTAAAATTTAATATTAATATATATTATTGTTAATCTAATATTTTAATATAAAATTTAGTTTTTATTAATGTTAGTTTTTTTTATTAATATTATAACAAATACTAATATTAATGATTCAAATATTACTAATATTAATATTACTACTAAAAAAATAAAGAATTAATATTAAAATTAGAATAACATTTATTTATATTATATTTTTTATTCATTGTTATTTGGCCAAAAAAATTGAAATAATTATTGGCTTATCCTATTTGCCTGAATAATATCATATTGTATAAAAGTGCATTCCTAATAAAAATGTGTTTTGTATGGTATATATCTGACGTATTTGTATAATTTTACAAACTTCTCTGTTCCTTGCAGTAAAACAGCCCTTCTGGAGGGGCTAGAAGTGGACCAGTACATGTTGGGCATTCTGATCTACATCCAGAAGTAAGTTTTTATATAATCTCAGCATCTAAACTGTGATTGCAGAGATAATGCAGAGATCCTAAATGATACTATTTTTAGCTGTTAACTGCATGTCCATGGACTGTTCCCTGACCATGTGACGCATATTGCACACAAAAATGGCAAGAGCTGGGTGAAATAGACATATTCAGTATGATTGGCTGGCATCTATCCAATTTCTCAGAGTAAGAGTGCACATTTTTTTGTTTATAAGTTCCCAGGCTGTTATTAAGCATTTCCAAGCAAGAACTGATTGCTGGATTTACCCAATTTTGTGAAGTTCATGGCATTAGTATCACCAGTATTATCCAGTTTGGGTTCATAAAAAGTGGTCAGTTGCTGTATGTGAGGGTCAAACATACTCTTTCTGTCTAGGTTTAAGGTTCTTGGCCACTATAAGCTGCAGAGTGTTCTGTATTTTAGTTCTTAAACTCCTTTTTTCTTGTGTTTAGTTCGGACTACGAGGAGATCACCATTGATCCGGTGTGCAGCTGGAAGCCAGTCCCGGTGAAACCAGATCTACATATTAAAGAGGACCCAGACGGCCCTGCCCTGAAACGCTGTCGCACCTTGAGCCCTAGTCATATGATCTTGCCCAACGTCATGGAGATGATTGCAGCTTTAGGGCCGGCCTCCTCACCCTACCAGTCTATGCCACAAGGTGGCAGCAGCAGCACGCCTGATTATCCCAGCCAAGGTATGCGTCACATCCAACTGTAAAGGCCTCATAGTGACCACAAAAGCATTTATATGAATACATTTTGTAGTCATAATTTTTTGGACAAAATGCATTTTGACCTCCATTTGATTTATTGTTGCATGTCTTTCAGGTGGCTCAGGATACTCTAACCAACCAGGCTTCTCAGATTTCCCCAATGCCCCTGGCACACCGACCCTGGGGGAGTTTACTTCTGGGCCGCCCCCTCTCTCCTACCAGTCTGACCTGCCAAGTGGCCTCCTTACCCCTGAAAAACCTGTGGGACACCCGATGTCAGGACAGGTGGGTTTTCCTATCATTTCATAAATTTCCTATCATTCATAAATTTCACCTCAAGGAATTGATAGAGTATCTATCTATCAGTGTTAATTTCCTCAACGAAGACAACGACGAAAAATATTCGTTAACAAACATTTTTTCTGTGACTAAGACGAGACGTTGACGAGCTAAAACGAATATCTGATGATAAAAACTATAACGAAATGTATACATCCTATAGGCTACTGTCTTGTCCTTCAAAATGTGTGTCCCTGTCATTGGATCGCAATCAGATTAGTGGCGTTTGCATATCTAGTCTCAGTATGGCTGCCGCAGTGGATGGATAGACCAAAATGCGAACTAGCGATCTGAAACAATGGCCTCAGCACCCGAAGGGGTAGGGGTAAGGTGACCAGACGTCCCGGGAGTCACAATTCGTTGTAAATTAACTTAGTTAGTGAAGGCGGGATAGGCGGAATCGCACTGATAGAAGTGCTCTCTCTCGTGCACACTCCACTTCTTCAGTTCTCATATACAGCGCGCGATCAGTTCTCAGTGCTCAAATACACACACAGCAGTCCATCTATCTACAGTCTATCGTGTAGAGTATCTCACGTAAATACAGTCGGTTATGGATTAAGTGAATGTAAACAGGTGGGTGAAAACTGAACGTGTGTCAGTATTACATGCATGCCTTCCGTCTTAAAGGGACAGCGTTCCTAATTAAGTACCTATCCGTGTCATTAATGTGAACCAACAAAAGATGATAAATAAATATGTTAAGTAAACCTACTGTATCTGAAAAATGAGTTTCATTTGTATCTCTTTCGTATTTGTCTTATTGTCTTATTCTGCTTCTTTTTCAAAAAATATAAATTATATATATTATATATGAACAACTATAATTTTTATAAGTTGCTACCTTTTCACTGTTAAAAGGATAGTTCACCCAAAAATGTAAATTGTCATCATTTATTCAAGTTTTTCCTAATTCAATCCTTGATTCGAATTTCTCATAAGCTTAATTGATTTGGTCTAAAGAGAGAATTAATTACTATTTTTGTTTGAAGACTACATATAAAATAGCTACCAAAATTTGTTTGACAAAGTAATGACTAAAGGTTGACAAAAATGCAATGGCTTTTCGTCTACTAAAACTAGACTAAAACTATGAAAGACTCAAATGACTAAAATGTGACAGACTTTTAAGCATTTTCGTCTCAAGATAAAGACTTAAGACTAAATCAAAACTGCATGTCAAAATTAACACTGCTATCTATCTATCTATCTACCTGTTCGTCCGTCCAACTAGCTAGCTAGCAAAAAAGCTCTAATGAAATAATTGTGTAAATCCATAAATGTGTTTTGACTATATGGCTTGAATGTACTGTACTGAAAATTACCCTCACCTTGGATATCCAAGTGTGTTTTACTGGCGTCTTGGTTTCTGTCGTTCCCGTATGCTGTCACGTATAAGAGCTATTCAAACGTCTCTGTGTGCGACAGCACAGCGCAGTGGTCCTCTCTGTCACTCGCAGCTGCTGCTTTTCCCACCACATCTCATCTGCTCTAAATGAAGCACAAGACGAGTCACTAAATTACTGTGCAGTGTGTTCCAGCTTCACTGTCTCTTTTTGTCTTTACACCTTTCCTCCTAAATAAAGATGCCTCACTCTAGTCGCATGGAGCCTTCCCACAATCCCCTTCAGCAACAGCAGCATCAATCTCTCCATGTTAACTCCAACATGGGTGCCCCCGGTGGACCCATGCACTCCCGCAACTCCTCCCAGAATCCCCGGATGCACACAGACAACTTTGTGTTGGGGGGCCCTGGGGGACCCGGCGACGTTTCAGAGCCGGCCCTTGATGTAAGTCAGAATCAATCATCTATTCCAGATCAAAGCAATGACTTTTGCCCATGGTGTCAACACTTTAAATTAGAGGTCTGCAGAGCACAACCGCCCGTTTCTGTGGGATTTTACTCTATGTACACCCACTACCAACTTAAAATGATCTTCTTCCCACCCGTTCTTGCTTAATTGAGGTCCCATGCATGCAGTTATGCATGTTTAAAGCTGTTCGTTCCCCTTTTCGGAAAGATTTCGCAAGCACTTTTGGGTAACGGCCAGCCCCACATCTGCTTTGGGACGCATTTGCGCTTATAAACTATTTTGGAATATTGGTTATAGTGTTCTACTCTTAAAGAGATAGTTCACCCTCATATCTATCCAAACCTGTATGACTTCGAAACAAAAAAGTGTCTCCATTGAAAGTCCAGATAATCAAAACTTAGAAGATCCAAAAAATTTCTTAAAATTGTATCCATGTAATTCAAGCTGTTTAATCCAAGTCTTGTAAAGAGATACAATCACTTTATATGTTGAAAAGATTTCATTTAGGCTTTTGTTCACATATGAACACACATACAGAGTGAATCACATCATTATAACAAATCTCATTGGTTTTCGCACATCATGGACGCATGTTTGAGCTTCCATGTTTACCATATGTGATGTGCTCTATGAATGTGTCAGTCATTGCTTAGCTGTAAATAAGTGTCTAAATTCAATCTGTTAATCAATTCATTTAATATGAATTGTTTTTGTGATGCGTTTTTGACCATTTTGGATCTTCTAAGTTTTGGTTACCTGCAGAGAAAGAAACATTCCAGATTTCATTAAAATTTCTTAATTTGTGTTTAGAAGATTAACCAAAGTCCCATGGGTTTGGAACGACATGAAGGTGAGTAAATGATGACAGCATATTCATTTTTGGGTGAACTATCCCTTTAACCACCGTGATTAAAGCAGTTCACAGATTTCCTGCAAAAATCAGTTCAAAAGATTCCATTTGAGCCTAGTGATTATTTAATTGATTCACAGACTTCGCAGCAATGTTGGAAACAGAACTGTTTTTGTGTTATAGAAAAATAACTGGCCATCTCCCCCTACAAATCAGACGTACTTTTGCTGGCGCAACAAATCTCTAATTTAATCCCACGATAATGCAGACCTCTGCTTTGAATGTAATTTATAGGTAAATAATTCAGCATGTTTATGAAAAGCCAGCTATGTTGAATTTATTATTACAATTATAAACAGTTTTGAGTGTCGTTTATATTGCCTTAGGGTGGTTCTTAACTCTGAATTTCCCTATTTGTTCTCCAGCTTCTCCCAGAGCTGACAAACCCAGATGAGTTGCTGTCCTACTTGGGTCCTCCTGACCTTCCCAACAACAGTAACGATGAACTGCTCGCTCTGTTTGAGAGCAACTGAGCCCCCCGTCCCGCTCATTCATCAGTCACACATTGCCGTCCAACACACAGCCTCCCTAAACCCTCACACTCCCGACTCATCGAGGGGAGCTTTGGGAAGCCTAGCAGATATCCGATTACGTCTTTGCACTGTTTCCTCCTGAGACTGGAATGCAGTGACTCATGGGAAGGTGCAACGAAGATCTTTCTTTTTCTTTTTTTCTTCCTCCTGTGACAATGTTACTGTTCGTCTGCTTCTCTGAACTCTGTCGAGATTTTATTGTGAATTTCAGTTTGAAAGAGTTCCCGCTCTTCTCTCGAATCATTTGTAGAAAGATGCCTCATCTCACATCAGACTCGTGTGGTGTAAATGACATTGTGTGGGGTGGGTCATTGTTCGTTTTTTCATTGCAGCTCCTGTTTTAAATCTAAATTAGATGAGGAATTCACTTCAGTGCTGATCTAAAGTACTACACTTCAGAAATCACACGGGGAAAGCCAAAGTGTCTCTGTTGTAACTTGAGAAAAACAAACGGATGAACGTAATTCTCTTAATAAACAGGCAGACTTATGTTTTATTTCTTCCTTTTTTTTGCCCAAAGATGACCACAAACTAGCTCCATGTGACGTATCATGGTTTTAAACCACAAATGACTTGATCTTAAGTGAACTTTACTTGAAGAAGACCTCAAGTGTGTAGCCTTTTTCCTTTTAAACGTGCTAATAGAGGCAATCACAATGTGTCAGACCTTAAACAGTAGCATTAAAGAAGTGCACTATTACATTTTGCACACACACCGAGCCCTTCAAGAGTTACTGTATTTGCCTTCACACGAAGGAAATTGAAGGCAAAGAGTCATTTTTTGTGACACCCACACAAATACACACACGCACACCTCAAGCCCCACTTGGTGTGTGTTTTGGCACAAACTCAAGACTAATTTTATGCCACACCCTGTTCTCTGTTTTCGTTTCTTTCCCCCTCAATGTTCTTTTTAACAACGGTCTTCCTCCCCTGTGGGTTTAAGGCCACGAGGTCTGGAGTTCTAGCATTACGGAAAAAGGACTAGAATCTGTGATTGTCATCGGCTCAAATCACACCCTCACTTGCGGACACATTTCACTTGCCCTTAAATATGCAAGTTTGGGCTCTTATTTGGTAGAAATTCTGTTTTCTTCGTCAACAAAATGTGTGAAGCTTTGAAACCAGACAGAGCACAAGCAGCCCTGTAGCACCTTGTAGACAAGTTGTAAGACAACACAAATGCACACAAGGACATTTTTTTGGACAAACACCTTCCCGTAGTGGGATTTTGCTCTGACAAATCTGGGTGGGTGGGAGTGTCACAACAGGAAATGGACTAATGTTTATAGCCACACTCGTAATTGAGGAGGAAAACATTGGGATTCATGTGAAATATGTACAGATATAGTATTATTATTGTCGCAGATGTGAACTTTCTCTCAACCCCATGATATGGAAAGAAAAAAAAAGGACATTTTAAACACTATGACAAGAGCTCATGTCAGGCATTCCCCCCCGTTTTCCATTCAGTGCTCGCTTTCTCGGCGTGGAGGGGAGATGAGTCTGCAGTCGATTCCTGTCTTGTCTGATTTTATTATTTATCATTGCTCTTTGGGCACCATTAGCGAAGTGCAGTTTGTATATTAACAATACAGGGAGTATCAAGAGTCGTCGGATATGCTTTTCTTCTTTATTTTTTAGTTTGAAGTCATTTGTGTATCATACAATTTTATCTTTGATTATATAATAATTGTTATTATAATTATAAAGATAATTGATGGGCCTGTATGCATCTCTCTTCCGTGTTAACTAGCAGAGTTTATGAATTTGTTAGAAAGAGAAAAAAAAATGAATTCACCATCAAAATCTGTGACCATGATCATGAAAAACTGAGAAACCAGCATCACTTGTTGATCAAACTGTTCAAAAAGATGTTTGACTGTCATGTGTTGGTGGATCACTAAGTTCTATCAATTGAATTAAACATGTACAATTGAAATCGATTTGTTTTCTAAAGATGTGAAATATTTCCATTATGTTTTATAAGTAAAGACTTAAGCCCCATTGCGTTTCATTGGCTTTATTTGGAGAGAGCAGAGCGGCACGTGACAAGGGGGCGTGTCCGGACAAAGGCCTGTGTCATGCAAGAAGACGGAGGGGGGGGGCTTTTTGTGTAACTCGGTTCGCTTCGTATCTTTCACTAATGCGTTGACATATCAGTTAGGACTCCATAATTTAGGAAATGTAGAAACAAATCAATCTAACGCTCTAAACATTCGTTATCCGTGATAACATTTTGTGCCGTAATGGCGAATTCAGCTGCTGGCCACCGCCCTCGCGCCATTACAGACCGCTGGTACACGCCCACACTATTCCCTCGTTGCTCATTGGATGGAACGCAGTGATGTCATTTCTAGCTACTCTAACGGGCCAATGAGGATGTCGATCAAACGCCCGCCCTCTGAACCTTGCGTTCGAACGCCGCGGTAATTTATTCATCCGCGCCGCCTCTGATTGGACAACGCGCACGTCATTCAGCGGATCCACGGCTTCATAGGTTCCAATTGAAAAAAAGGGCTGCTGGCTGCTTCTATATATTCCGTTTTCGCACGCGCCCTACTTCCCGATGAGCTGCGGCATTTTGTAGGATTCGTTCGGTGACTAGCTACTAATACAAATTGGGTTTTATTTTGCCATCATGTCCAATCCCAGGGTTTTTTTTGACATCACCATCGATGGACAGAGTGCTGGGAAGATTGTAATGGAGGTAGGTCACCGAAAGTGACTGAATAGCGGTTGATGGCAGAAAAAATAATGGCGTTTGCATTTGCATCACCCAGTCATTATGGAATCTAATAAATGCTTCCATTAAAAATCTTTTTAAAAGCCTGTGGTGCGTGTAACGTGACTGTTTTAGCGTCACTACTTTGAAATAGGCGGATGGGGGAAACAATTTTGCTTCCCGCGTGCCGAGCAGCAACATTGTTACATGTCGCTGTTTATCAGAGGCTATAATGTTGCCGGTTGTGCTTGACCCGGAACGCCGTCCGTCGACCTGAGCCAGACTCTGACAGCTGAGCGCACGCCGCAGAGTTTGCAGTCATTACAAGCGCAGGCTGCGCGTGTGGAGCGATGCGCACCACTTTTTTTTTTTTATACGGACGCCATTTTCACCATCATTTTTTTCATAACCCAAAGATGCCATTTTGAAAAGGGAGGGGTGAATAGTGGAGTTTGTCTAGCTGTCTAGCGAAACTTGTTCACCAGAACTGAATTATTGCATCCCAGCGCTGACATATTTTCACTTCTTCCCAAATGAAATTGTATTTTTGAATGCGCAGACCTAATTAAAAAGCGACTGGCCTTACACTTTGAATCGGGACTGCAGAGTAACTCGCGCGCTCGTGAATGTCGGTGTTTGCAGAGAAACGCGGAAGTCACGAGTTTAACCTGTTCTGTGTCACACCAGTAGAGCCCGCTCGGTCCTGTTACGCTTTTCCTATTTTAAGTTATGGTATAAAATCTATGCCTACTCGTTGTAAAATAGGAAAAGGTCACTACCTTCATACTTTAACAAGAAATATTAAAGTCACTGCAAAGCCTTTGATTAATTCAAAATGTACAATATATATATATATTTTTTTTTATCATTATTTTATCTCATTATTCATGGTTGCCTTTGATTATTTGTCTGTTCATTGTTTAAAATGTTGCATTAAAGTTTTGGTAAAAGTGAATCTTCGTGCATACAAGTGAAAAAGTACATTTATGCAGTTAAATTGCATTTTATTTTAAATTGTGTGTGTGTATATATATATGTGTGTGTATGGGTGTAATTTATTTTACACTAATTCAATTTGTATAGAGTACTGTTTATAGCAGTGTATATGTGTGTGTGTGTGTGTATATATATATATATATATATATATATATGTATATGTGTGTGTGTAGATGTTCTCAAAATGGCCAATTATTTTCTAATTAATTTAAATATTTAGAAACAGAAGTCCATTGATATTTACACATACTTAACAGAAAACTGCTTGTATGCAAAGTAAGCTTGGACATCAGCTTAATTTCTATTTCTGGTTTCCCCCCTCCTTTTGAAATAGCTGAGAGCTGATGTTGTACCCAAAACTGCCGGTGAGTATCTTTTTTTTTTGTTTTGTTTTTTTTCCCCCACATTAAATGGGTTTCTTATAAATAAATGTGGACTCTGTTTTCTCGTGCATTAATGTCTCCATATCTACACAGAGAACTTCCGTGCTTTGTGCACTGGTGAGAAGGGTTTTGGCTACAAGGGCTCTGGCTTTCATCGTATCATCCCCGACTTCATGTGCCAGGTAAGATCTGAACCCCGTCATGTTATCAGACGCAATGGTTTCCGCTCACACTGATGTCGGTCGATGTCACTCCTGATGTAGGGTGGAGACTTCACCAAACATAATGGAACCGGTGGAAAGTCCATCTACGGCAACAAGTTTGCGGATGAGAACTTCACCCTGAAGCATGGAGGGAAGGGAACCCTGTCCATGGCCAATGCCGGACCGAATACCAACGGCTCCCAGTTCTTCATCTGCACTGCTGATACTACTTGGTAAATGGCTTCTTTGAGCTTACTATTTTAATGTTAGATAAGCCACATAGTGACGTAGGTATGTGGGGGAGTGTTAGAACGAGCCGTTTTAGGTAGGTGTGGTTGACTCTTAACTTTTATAAAGAATATCTCTTTGGATTTGAGACTTTAGTCTTTGCAACTTTACAGATCTTCTTTATGCACCAAGAGCTTGTAACACTCCAAAGAGAAAGGAAAACTTGAAATCGCATCATATGACCCCTTTAACATCCTTGAAACCTTTCTATTGCACTAAAGGTTCTTTAGAGCAGTGGTTTTCAAACCTCTCCATGAAGTACCCCCAGCACTGCACGTTTTATGTCTCCCTATATCTGACACACCCTTTTCAGGTCTTGCAGTCTCCACTAATGAGCTGATGAGTTGAATCAGGTGTGATAGATGGAGACATACAAAATGTGCAGGGCTGGGGGTACTCCAGGACAGGTTTGAGAACCACTGCTTTAGAGTATAAACTGTTTAGAGCATTTCAATTTGATATTAGTGCTAAAGTTCTTTGTTTCTCCAGGCTCGATGGCAAACACGTTGTGTTCGGGAAAGTGGTAGAAGGATTGAGCGTAGTGGATGCCATGGAGGCTAAAGGAAACAGCAGCGGGAAATGCTCTGCCAAGGTCGTGATTGCTGATTGTGGCCAACTTTAATTGTTTCTTACTCCCCTCCCATTTCAACCAGGCACATTCCTTACTATATAGATTTTTTTTTCTTTTCTTTTTCTTTTTATTGCCATTCCTGAATGAGATGCTTATTCCATGTGTCATGGTCCTGTTTTATGTATTCTGACGGTCCCCAGGACACAATCTGTTAAACATGGATTAAAGATGGATCAAGATTCCTTTCAACAGGTTTTTGTTTTCTTTCTTTTCTTGGAACAGACAGCTCCGCTCAACTGTTAAAGAAATCTGAGATATTTCATTTAGCATGTGCTGATATGCTCTTGTAATGGAAGTCTTCAAAAGGAACCCATTAAAGTCTGTTTTGGTTCTAAAATGGCAGCGTTCTGCTGCAGTACTTTATTAGTGCATTGGTTCTCAACAGGGTTAACTAAAATTAAAACCATAAAACATTATTTGAAATGGCATAAATTAACTGGCTTTCTAACTAGCTTTTTATTTCAGCTAGCTGCTGAGGCAATTTTTTCATTTCGTTTAAATTGATGTACTAAAATAACACTAGTAAACTAAAAAAAAACACTACATAGAAAAACTATTTAATAAATAAAACCATATATAAACATTTGGAAAACAAAATTACTAAAATTAAAGTCAAAATAGTAATGAAATGATACTAAAATAATGGTCTTGCTTTAAGTAAAAATTGATGTCTGTAAAATCCAACAATTGTAAGTATGTTAATATGTTTACTGTTATTACCATAACCTGCATAGGCCCAGATATATGCATGTTAAGTCCTATTTGATTTCAATTTAGCATTTGCTTTCTGTCCCACTAAACTTAAATTCATTAAGTGAATACTTGCAAAATATCTTGCATGCTAACACAGGACACACACAAAAAAGAAACCCACAATACTGTATGTAAACATTTTAAACCAGACATACAGAAAAACATTACAAATGATGCTTTGCAACAGCAGAGCTTTTAAATAAACGTCTTTTGTCTGAATTGTACAAGATTATTAGGTAAAAATGTCGCCCGTATTGGAGAACTTCATTGGAAGTTAACCTTAATGAGGTTCGAGTTTGGCAGAAAAGCAGGTTTAGAACAGTTCATCCAGCAGGTTTCCCGGGCTGTGCGTTTGCCCCAGAGCAGCACTGATGGGGTTGTTGCACATGGGACATGAAGAGCTCACTTCCAGCCACTTCACCAGACACCTGGTAAGACAGATCAATAGAAACACTTCTCAACAGTTAAGCTGAAATTACTCTGACCCGTTCACACCAAGGATGATAACTATAACAAACTTAATCGTTCTAAATCATAGACTGTATAAAAACAGTTCTAAATCTACTAGAACATGGAAGTCCACACCACAACTATAACGATAGGGTGACCATACGCCCGACTCTCCTATTTCTTCTCGGTGCGAACGGGCTTTTAGGGTTACGAGGCACAGCCAGGGTGTGCTCGCTTCAATGAACCTCTTATTTACCTATAAACCTCTCTGGACTTTTATTTCATAGCATTAGCATGATAAAAGACATGGGAGGGATCTACCTCTTGTGAAAGGCGTGTTGGCATGATAACACTCCAAGCTCATCTTTTGTCCTGAAGTCCTCCAAACAGACCGCACATGTTAACTGAGAAAACAGGATGTTACAATAGAGAAAATCAGAAGTTTAGAAGGTCTCAAAGATTCCCAAGTAGTCAAATAACTTTTACCTTTTTAATAACCTATAACTTGAGACAAAACATTTACCCCATGTGCATGTGGCCGTGTTGTTTCATCTTCAAATACAACCTGTAATGCAAAACAGTTGTTTATCTTATAATGAGCAAAAAGTATTTAGACACAGTTGATTAATTTTGCAACATCAACAATTGAACCAAATTAAATGAACAATTAACTAACTCGAGCTGAATAATGACATTGTTGCCTTTTGTAGAGCTGCTTATAGCTGAAAAACTCATTTGAGCTGAATAATGACATTATTATCTTAAGTAGGGCTGCTTTATAGCTGAAACTAAATCTCATATTTGAATTTTGCATAAATGATTCTGTTATTTTCCTGTTGATACTGTGAAGCTGCTTCAAAACGATCTCTATTTTATAAAACGCTATATAAATACAGGCGACTTTACTTAATTGACACAAAAATGTCACTGCATTAAATAAAAAAAATCACAGAAAGTGTCATTCATTTAGAAATGGCACAAGCGCATTTTCTCTGTTGGCAAAGAGAAGTTTGAAAATGTAATGTGTTTGAGGTTAGTGAATGTGCTGATAGTTTATGTGATTTTCTACACCTGTGGTTCCTCTAATAGGACACCTGTGTGAACCTGAGAAGAACTGGCTTCAAACATCCACTAAAAATCACCAGCAGATTCAAAGCCAGACTTCAAACATGAAGAAAAGTGACATTAGTGAAGAGACAAATCCTGCAGCATCTGAGACGTTTTTAAGTGTGATGTAAGTGTCAAATACCTTCTGATGATACCATTTATAACGTGCACTCACCATCTTGTATCCAGCTCTCACATTGCGAGCTTGATGTCTCAATTTACTGCAAAGAAAAACAGGCCAAACCATTCATTAACAAGGGTTGACTTTGATAAAAATAATTATTTCTAACTTTAAAAAAAAAAGTATAAATATTATAGAAGTGAAATTATTTGAAAATGTTCAATTTATTACTTCTTTTCTCTAGACATCAGTATGGCAGTACAGGCAAAGGTTGTGGTGTGTCGTATGTTTCTAAACACAAATTTGGCAAGTGAGGGTTTGTAGTTCTCGGTGTTTGACATGACATTAGCTAAAAGCCTTTGGTCAAAAATAGCATTGTGAACAAAAAGCACGGAGATGCAATCTAGTCCTGAATTGTTCGAGTTTGGAAGCGCGTGAGGCCAGAGGAAGCCCCTTCTGCTCTGCAGCTGTCAGTCTGTCACAGGAAAATACTGATGAAGTCCGGGCACAAAGAAGAGTTTTAGAAACGTTATCCAGGATCTGCATGGTCCAAACGGGCTGTTCTGTTAAACTATTACGGATTTGGTCTCAATATTACAGTCACACTTACCTTATAAAGAAGCAGCAGAATATCAGGCTTAAAACGAAGACAAAGATCCCAGTGCCAAAGATGGCCACATCGATGTTGAGAGGTCACTGGAGGCATGGTGTTTTAAATATCAATCATTTCTTGAAGATCAAAAACAATTGATATGCCATTTATGGAAAATTAGGTGATTCTTTGTAAGACAAAACAATGTGATACCCATTAACAATGCAGTTTCATAACAATACAAGCCTTAGGGCAATATTTATCAAATTGTAAGATATCAGGCTTAAAACGAAGACAAAGATCCCAGTGCCAAAGATGGCCACATCGATGTTGAGAGGTCACTGGAGGCATGGTGTTTTAAATATCAATCATTTCTTGAAGATCAAAAACAATTGATATGCCATTTATGGAAAATTAGGTGGTTCTTTGTAAGACAAAACAATATGATACCCATTAACAATGCAGTTTCATAACAATACAAGCCTTAGGGCAATATTTATCAAATTGTAAGGTTACACTCTAAAAAATGCTGGGTTAAATACGACCCAGTGCTGGGTAAAATAGGGACAAACCCAATTGCTGGGTTTGTCCCTATTTTACCCAGCACTGGGTTGTGTTTAACCCAGCATTTTTTTAGAGTGTAGAAAACCAAATGAAAAAAAAGCATTGAAAGTCAGACAGCATTTATTTCAAACATGTTAGCACTTTTTACAGATTAAAAAACAAACAAAAAAATTTTTTTTTTAATTTACAATGACATTAAATATTAATTAAAAAAATAAATCTCGCCATTATAAACAGGCTCCCGTGGGTTGTATTTAACCCAGCATTTTTTTAGAGTGTAGAAAACCAAATGAAAAAAAAGCATTGAAAGTCAGACAGCATTTATTTCAAACATGTTAGCACTTTTTACAGATTAAAAAACAAACAAAAAATTTGTTTTTTTAAATTTACAATGACATTAAATATTAATTAAAAAATAAATCTCGCCATTATAAACAGGCTCCTGAGTGTCTTCACTTCACTGTTTATTCTTCATACTCGGATCTGTGGATTCTCCCGGATCAAGCGTCAAATGAATCCCTGACTGTTTAGTCGCATCTACAGTTTTGAGAGCCTGTAAATGTGAATCAAACTATGTAACGGACCGCAGAAAGACATAAATATCCACATGCACGAGAAAACAGTAAACCCTGCCTGTAATTCAGGAGGCGGAGCCTAAAGATCTGACTCACTCATTATTCAGTGATTCACCTCTCATGTTAAAGGGATAGCTCACCCAAAAATTAAAATTCTGTCATCATTTACTCACCCTCAAGTAGTTTCAAACCTGTATGAATGTCTTTGTTCTGCAGAACACAAAGGAAGATATTCTGAAGAATGTGGGAAACAGAGCAGTTCTGGGGCACCATTGACTTCCATAGTATTTTTTTTCTCCTACTATGGAAGTCAATGGTGCCCCAAAACAGCCTGGTTACAAACATTCTTCAAAATATCTCCCTTTCTGTTGGGCAGAACAAAGACATTTATACTGGTTTGGAACTACTTGAGGGTGAGTAAATGATGACAGAATTTTAATTTTTGGGTGAACTATCGCTTTAAAACTTCTCATGTTCATCAAAATAAATTGCACTATTATAAAAAGAAACGGTAATAATATAACCTTATATGGTATAATTAGTATAAATATATTTAGTGTAATAGTATATTAACAGACTAGTATAGAAATATTAGTGTAAGTATAAATATAGGCTATATGTTTAAATGGTAGCTTTATTATACAACAGAAAACGTTTGTGACCTAAAATATATATATATTTTTTTTTTTTGCATGAATTGCTCTTCAAATATGATATTGTTTTAAAAAATCATACATATTCCTTAACCCAGGTAAAGTTTATTTCAAACTGTTTTATTTGAAATAAATAAATCGCAGCCAAAGCCTCCTAATTTTGTTTTCCATTTAATTAAGCAAAATAATTTAAGAATCACAATAGACAAAGTCTATGCTGTTTTTTAAACCTTTTAAAAAAATCTTTTTATTGGTATTTAACAAGACAGTACATAATGATAAATTCAGTAAAAATAAGAGATAGACAAACTAGTTATCTGATTTTTTTTGCAATACTAGCCCCAGAGAAAATGAGATTTTAAAAGGCATGTTTAGGCAGAAATATGACCTGTTTAAAGGCAAATTTGGGCCAGTGGCTTTAGAGTCTTTGCTGGGAGCTGATCATGTTGACTCGGTGAGTTATTTCTTCACACCCTCCTAACAAGTCTGACATTAGACACCATCAGACACTACAGTAAATTCACAGAAGATTCATGTAATATTTAATATATGCCATGAGAGCGTTCCTGCTCATTGCATGACCGTACGACAGAATTATAAAGGGTTATTCTTAATTCTTTGAATAAAGAAAATTCAGTCCATTGCCAATTTTCAATTTTGCTCACTTTCTCGTTATGCTGGACATTCAGCTGTGTTGGGATTAAGAAAAATAACACAGTATGCCAAATGTGACAGTTTTTTTAAATTTTATTTTATTGCTTTTTAACTACATAATTACTGAAATTAATTAATTAGGTGATTGTAAATATGTCTGTAGTGTAGACCATTAGTAGTTTCTCTCTTTCAAATAACAAATGATTGATTCCTAGTCCTCCATGCTCCCTCACCAACTTCATTATTCTCAAGCAAAACAGCCCCAAACATGCAGTGGTCCTCTGTCAACTCTCAGCTCTGCTCTCTGACAAACAAGACTTCAACAAAGGTTAAATGACACCGCAGTGCAACATTCAGACATCGAGACTTCAAAATTCTTTACTACAATGTAAACTTAGAGTCAGCCTTCACAGGGACAGTGAGGACCGATTTCATATTTCATAAGTCAGTCAATTTAAATGTGAATACTTTATCATCATGAAATTCAAAACATTTAAATTCAACATGCACTACATGACTTTGAATGACATGACCAAATGATGGAGCTATTTTAAGGGTTTTAAAGGAATAGTTCACCCAAAAATGAAAACTTGCTGAAAATGTGCTCGCCCTCAGGCCAACCAAGATGTAGAGGAGTTTATTTCTTCATCAGAACAGATTTAGCATTACATCACTTGCTCACCAGTGGACCCTCTGCAAAACAGCTGATAAAACATCACAATAATCCACAGCACTCCAGTCCAGCAATGAACATCTTACGAGGAGAAAAGCTTTGTTTTTAAGAAACAAATCCATCATAAAACCGTGTAGGTGTTTTTTAATCAAGTAAAAAAAACTAATAAACTCGTATATACAATGGTATATGTTGTTGTAAAAGCTGTCTGTTTGCATTTATTCAACTTATTGTTAAAATGGCGGAATTTGTGGTGAAAAACTACATTACCCATGATACTGTACAGAAAATTCTATGAAGCACCACAAAAGAGTAATGGAGTTGGTCTCCCTACCATATCAAAATGTTTAAATATTTGTATATATGCATATTTTGCAATAAATTTAAAATATATTGTTTCTATTGATACAATCAAAAACTTGACAAATAAATTCTATTTCACAATAGTTTTTAATTTATGTAATTTGCAATGCTTCAAGAAACTAGTTCTTTCCTTCACTAAAGCCATTAAGTACAGTCTTGTACCTTTGTCGTTTTGTCCCATTTTCAAATACTTTTTTTGCTTCAAATAAAAGTTTGTAACGTTGCGATTCACCTCATGGCTAGTGGGTTTGGTTCATGACTTTTAACGCTTTAACAAACCCAACAGGAATTAAAAAAAAATCTTTATGGGAAAAATGAATGGAAAAAAATACTTCCGTAACCAACGCCGCTGAAAAAGTGGGCTGGCACTAATGCACTCTATGGCATCATCAGGCTGTAAAACTGTTTTGCTTTTGATTTCAATAAGACTGAGAAACTTCAGGTTGAAAGAAAAAGGCCGCTTATGAACTGACCTCCAGTACTAAGGGCTCTGTGAATGAACTCGGCCGCTGGGTAGAAGTTGACACTCATGTCGAAGGAGGGCGAGTCGTGGGCTTCAATGCCGTGATACGTGATGTTCATGCCAGCGTAACACTCTGCACCACCTCTCCATTTGCTCTGAGCACAGTTGAGGATGTGCGTGATCCCAAGCTTGATGAGTTCTTTGCGGTTTGAGGCAATTTCTCTGCAAATTTAAGTGGAAAATTTATACATGGTACAAAATTTACTGGCAGTTTCTAGATTACTCATCTATACAGGAGAAAAGTTCACTCTTTTACTGCTATGTCATGCTTTGTTACATGCATTATACAAAGCAAGGCATTTTATGAGACTATTATATATTTTTTTTGTTTGAAAGATTCAATACTACTTTTTTGTATGAGCCTCTAAAGCATAATCTCATGTTCAACATCCTGTATATGGCCAAAACAGATATTCATGGGCTACTCACTGGTCACCTATGTAGAGTCTTGGCCACACTTCATCTGCATGATTACAGGCGGTTTTCCCAGTGTACAACAGACGCTCTAGTTCAGCAACAGTTAGTACAGGACAGCCTTTCTCTGAGTCCTTTCTGCTGGGAGATCTGGAATTACTCCGTGACCGGGACAGTCTGGACATGAAAGCCATCTGGACTGGCCTTCAGTGGAGCTATAAAATAACACTGAAAATATATACAAAATAAAAATAACCGTTTTAAATGCTAAAAGCATTTTTAAATACAAATTAAAGGGACAGTTCACCCCAAAATGAAACATTTTTCAGGTTAAACAAATAAACATTACTTATACTATCAAGAAAACAACAACAACCAATACAATTCCAATTTGATATATTTACATTATCATTACTACATTACATTTCTGTGAATTAAAACAAAGTACATTTCTCGTAAGGTTAGTGCTTTTTTGAGCATTTTATTCCAAATTAACCGTGCAAAGTCATATGCGATCATTCTATGATTAGTTTTGCCTTTTATTTTAAGGCTTCAAGTTGGTCACTGTTATACCATTATAGAGGAGTGCTAACAGTTTTATTTTTTTAGATTTCTCCTTTAGTATTCTGAAAAAGAAATGTCATATGACATTACAACAACACCAGGGTGAGTAAATAAATGTAATTAATCTATTTAAAATAAATTATTAGTAACACTTTAGTATAGAGACCAGTTCTCACTACTAACTAGTTGCTTATTAGCATGCCTATTATTAACATATTGGCTTTTTATTAGTACTTCTAAAGCACATTCTGCATGACCATATTCTACATCCCTAATCCTACCCAATACCTAAACTTAACAACTACCTCACTATTAATAAGCAGCAAATTAGGGGGTTATTGAGGCAAAAATTCATAATTAACGGTTTGTTAATAGAAGAGAATTTGACTTTAATAAATCATTTTTAAAGAAACGTAGTAACATTAATTTCACTTAAAAGGACTAAACTTTAAAAAATATATATTAAATATTTAGACCTAATTTCTCTCTAAATGACACCATTAATTTTCATATAAAATACACATTACTTTTACTGCAGTAAAACCATAGGCTTCATTCTGAAAAATCAGATAAATATCATGTATTGTTTTTTGAACATCTGCTGTCATGACAATGACAATTATAACCAGTAGGTGGCGCTAGTGATCCTTATGTTGGTCTATTATCTCAGTAACCCAATGCTCTATCAAAGTTAATTTCTAGATAGAAGTTATGATTTTGGATATATACTTAGAATATAATTGCCTAGAAAAGATTGTCATCTTTAAATCCACATGTTTTGAAATGTCTGTTTTTGCAGTGATTACAATGAAAAGACAGGGTATGCATTATTTTGCAGCTTCTAATTTATTTAAAACATCAATATTTAGTAACCCTAATGCAGTAAACAAATAACAAAAGTCAACAAAACAAGGGCAATAATCAGATTACACATTTTGCAATGGTAAACAAGAAAACAGCAAGAAAAGAATTAGTCATAAATCCAAATGACAAACAGTACATAAGCAGCGACTAAGCCTTGTTTAAACCTTCTTTCTGCGTGCTTGGCAGTAAGTAATCATAACAGCGTGTGACCCGCAAATGTGCATGTTACACTCGATACACATCAAACTGGTTTTTATGTCCTTCTTTCGGTCACAGACCTGACACCTTTTCCTCTTGCCTGGGGTTACTGGTGCGAGATGAGTGGCTTTGACTGGTGAAGAACTTGCTTGAGCTTCCATCACCATATTCTGAGATGCTGGAGTGCGGGGAATTTTCTCCCATCTTTTCATGAGGGGAGCCACCAGAGCTCTCCCTAGTTCTTCCAAAAAGAGCCGCCTCCTATATTTCTTCCCTTTGTTCCATGAATGATTTATTTCCATCCACAGCACAAATGCATTATAGGCAGAGACGTCCAACATGTTGAAAAAAAATCACCATGGGCCAACGTGACGTCTTCCTTTGGCAGGTGTAAGAGGCAACAAGCTGGAAGCAAAATGACACCTACACAAAATCACCAAAGCTTTATCTTATCAGCTGACAATTCATTCACTTTATATTAGTCATTTGGCCTTGAATGAAAACAAATAAATACAGAGGATATAGAAAAGAGTCACCCCCATTTAAAATTCACATTTTGTTGCTTTGCAGCCTGAAATGAAGACGGACAATTTTTTGTTTTTGTTTTATCCAGCTGTATTTACTCAGTTCAACTTAGAACATCCAAGTGAAAGATCATAAAACCAACATGTCAGAAAAAGAAAAAAAAACAGAATCACTGAGTTGAATCAGGACATCTCTCCAAACTGGATGAAAGAGCCGGAGGAAACTGGTCAGAGAGGCGACCAAGAGACCGACAGCAACTCTGAAGCAGCTGCAGGAATTTATGACATTGTTGTCAAATGCACACAATGACCACTCTATCACAGATTCTCCACAAATGTGGCTTGTACGGGAGGACTGCAAGAAAAAAGCCACTCCTCAAGAAAGGCCACTTGCAGTCACGATTGAGCTTCGCCAAAACGCACCTTGAAGATGAGACTAAAATTGAATTATTTGGCCTCAACATCAAGCGATATGTCTGGTGGAAATCCAACACAGCTCACCATCCAAATAACAGCATTCCTGCAGTGAAGCATGGAGGTGGTAATATCCTGTTATGGGGTGTTTCTCTGCAGCAGGGACTGAAGCACTTGTCAGGATAGAAGGAAAAATGGATGGGGCAAAATACCGTCAAATTCTTGAGGAAAATCTGCTTCCCTCTTCCAGAAAGTTGTCAATGGGAAGAAGGTTTACCTTCCAACATGACGATGAGCCAAAGCACACAGCAAAACTGAGCACACAGTGGCTGAAGGAGAAAAAGGTGAATGTTCTTGCATGGCCTAGTCAGCAGAGGTGGAAAGTAACGAATTACATTTACTCGCATTACTGTAATTTGAGTAGCTTTTTTGTGTACTTCTACTTTTTAAAGTAATTTTTTTAAAATCTGTAATTTTACTTTTACTTAAGTATATTTTGTTTGAAGTATTGTACTTCGCTACATTTTAAAACACATTAATTACGGAGCGATTAATTTTTTTTACTCCCTGAAAACTACTGTAGTAAATAATGGGCAGGAGAGCAAACTGCCACTAAAATCACAAGAAAGATGCAGACGGACAAGACAGGTGTTTTGGTGCAGACCCAGCTGAAAATGAAACCCCGTTGTATTCTGCTGAAGTTGAACTTGAAGGAAATGAAGTGAACCCCTGGCCATATTTATGTTCTATTATGCAGTGTAAGCTGTGTTTGCCTAGGGATACCAAACTAGCAGCTTATAAAATCTCGACATCAACCCTTCACAAGGATGTAGAGGTAAGCTAAATACTTGCATCCTTGCATTGGTGGTTAAAATGAAGCTTTGACAGTTTAGCAAGAGGTCTTGCACAAATTAGCCAAAGACAGTGGTGCGCAGTGTGTGATATATATATATATATAGTTCGAGCGCAGCTTTTTGGTCCGACGCTGCCAACGCGAGGCGACAACACCGTCGGCTTTCGTCGCCGCTAGTTCTTTGAAGTCAGCTTGGTGTGTCCCGGCCTTTAGTAGAGACAAAACCCAACAGACTAAAGGCTGTAATTAAAGTGAGAGGTGGTTCATCAAAATACTGACACAAAGGGGTGATCCTTTTTCCAAATCGGTGATTCTGTTTTTAAATAAAAAAAAAATAAAAATTCTGATATGTTGGTGTTATGATCTTTCACTTGGATGTTATCAGTTACACGGAGTAAATGCAGCTGGATAACACAAAAACTGTGTCTGTCTTCATTTCAGGCTGCAACACAACAAAATGTGATCATTTAAAGGGGGTGATTCTTTTCTATAACCACTGTAATGCAAAGTGGTAAAATACCTTGTCAAGGTTGTCAACTCCGCCTTTGGTCTGGTTGTAGTCTAGAATTATCTTTGGCTTCTTGTGATCTTTGTCGCTTACTTTGGCATCCTGTGGAAAGTGCTCATCAACAGCACATTTTTTATTTTTTCTGGGGCAGTAGGACACAAGAGTGTGCGTATCAGTGAAGGCGAACATGGATGATAATCGGGCCCTGTCCTTCATTGACAGGAGTGCAGGTGGGAGCTCAGGTTTGTTTGATCTGACTGTTCCGATCATGGTCATTTTCCTTCGGAGCAGCTCCTCACCGAGGCCATACGAGGTGAAAAAGTTGTCACACGTGACGGTGTTTCCCTCTAAACCGTCTGTCATGTCCAGGACCACTCGTATTCCCTGGTTCTTTTCTGACTTGACGTCGGCAGCTTTGCCAGTGTAGATCTGCATGTTCCACGCATAGCTCGAGCTGGAATCGCATGCTGTCCAGATTTTAATGCCATACTTGCCCGGTTTACTTGGCATGTATTGTTTGAAGGGACAGTGTCCTCTGAAACGGACCAGGCACTCGTCCACAGTGACGTTTGGGCCTGGATTGTACAAGAGTGGCAGGCGTTTGACCCATTTATCCCAGATGTTCCTTACTGGTGCCAGCTTGTCCCTTTTCTGTCAGCTAGGCTCTTTGTGCCTTTTGTAAAAGCAGAAGACCCTTGACAAACTGGTAAAACTTTTCAGTGACATGGTAGCACGAAAAATTGGCCTTCCCGACTCAGCGTGCCATAAGTTGCTCATGGTGGGATCGATACACGCCTGCCAGAATCAACAGACCAAAAAAGGCCTGTAAGTCTGTCCAGTCCAGGTCCTTCCAGGTATCACGAAATACACGTTTCCCCTCTAAATTGTTCATTTCAATCAAAATCGGTTTAATATAATCTGGGAAAAACAATTCAAATGTTGATCTTATGTCTTTAGCATTGGCACATGCCAGCCTGGTTGGTCCAGGGGTCATTTTGATGATACGATGAGCTGGTAATCTCTCTCGTTGTTCCGGAGGAGGAGGTGCTGGAGTCCACAATATGTTTAGGTTTTTGGACTCATAAGCCGCCTCTGTGTCAGCAGTGACCTCTGACTCTTCCTCTGAACCTTCATCTGACTCTTCTCCATCAGTAGAGTGGTAGTCTGGGTCGAACTCCATATTGTCCTCTGTTTCAGAAGCTTCATCAAAGAGCTTCACCTCCAGCTCAGCTTCTCCATCCAGATCCCTTTCCTCTTCCATCCATTCATTACTTGTCGTACGTAGGGTCGTGTATCTTTTCTC